TTTATAATAAATGTAGGTATTAAAATAAGAGGTGATCGATTTTCCAATGTTCGGTATGTAAGCTTTCGTATGTAAGCTTAACAGTATACGCAAGTCTATATAATATAGAACGGCAATTGAACAGGAAAAAAAACTATCATCTAAAAACTACGATTTTTAATTATTTCGTCAATCACCTTTTACTATAGAGATATTGCATCAAGCCAAATTTAACTTTTAAAAAACATGGTAGCCCTCAAGTGCTCAGAAAATCCCAGTTGTGGTCGTGATAATGTTCGTTAATTTGACGTAAATATTCTCATTAGCCTTTACCGTGTTTTTTTACGATAATTAATAGAATGTCAATCTTGGATTGAACAATATCTGTGGCAGGGTTTTGTTATATATCCAAATTCTAGTGAAAAACTAAATTAAAAAACAGTATTGTTCACTGTAGTTGTTATTGTATTATATAGAACTGTTATTTTTTATTCAAATTTTATTCAATGGAACTGAATACTAATCGCACGACCGTACAAACAATGATAATAAAATTTGATCCCAGTGATAATCAATGGTTGAATAATGATGATGAACACTTTTGTTTCTTGTACCAAAACGGTTTATAATATTTCGGATATCAAAATTATTTATAGTTATTCCTCGTGTTTCATTTATTTTTTGTTTCACTTGTGGTTTATTTTTGTTCTATTTATCAATAACAGTTAGCATATACATGTTTTACGGGTACTAAAATAGTTTATTTTTATATCAAGTTTCAATAGTTGGTAATACATGTACATATTTTTCTAAATAAAAGATTATTTATATATTTTGTTACCGTTGTCAAAAATTAATTTATATTAGTTCAGGTAAAAATGCTCTATACGTGTTCCAGGTTTCAACAGCTACGACATCCAGTTAGGTTATATTTGACCCACGTGTTACTAATTGGCATATTTCTCCAAGAGTGACTTGAATTTTTCCAAATGTGAAAAATTGATTTACTTATCTCAAGAGATCAGAACGATTTATGTTTGTTTGTTTCGAGTGTAAAATGTATTTAATTTTTCCTAGGTGCCAACAAAAGGTATAATACATACTGGGTGTCAAAAACTTATATAGAATATATATTTAATTGTAATCCAGTAATGTTCAATAATCTATATGTATTCAATTCGAATGGTGTTCAAACATGAGCACATCTATAAGAATTGTTAGTTAGGACGGTTATATATATAAGGTCGTCAAGAAATTAACGTCGCATTTTGGAATACTTTCATTAACCACCCTCTAAAAAACGTACATCACGTA